GTCTATATGGGAAGAAGTGGGTGAAGCGATTAAATCATCTCCGGCAGACTCTAGGAAATGTACTGCTGACCCTCTACCCCAGGGGTCAGCAAGCCTCAGTACCTGGAGCCTCCACAAACGTCCTGGTGGGCGGACAGTTGCCTGTAGGTAATTGAAGGGGAATGAGAAAGCTACGCTGAGCCAGGCCCCTTCCCCACCCACCAGACCTCACAACCTGAATCTGGCCACCAGTCTCAAGAAGCATTTACCTAAGGTTTCTCCAGGCTGGGCAAGGGGTGCCTCTGGACTCTTGATTCTCAGGAAATGTAGCTCTCTGATGTCCCCATGGACAAGAAACAAAAGATAGGGGTGACTGTCATCTAGTTGGCTCATCTGTTTGTGGGACCTCTGGGACCCAGCCCAGAAAGGCAAGAAGGATCCAGGTCCAGACAGTAGCAGTGTAGTCCCATCAGAAGAGGCGGGACATTGTGAGGAGTAGAGGCTTCTAGTCTTGGCATCAAGGCCAGCTACCTATGACACCTTAGACAAAGCCTTCATTCATCTCTCCACTCCTTCCACAAATATCTATTAGACTTAATATTTCAGCTTGGGTTCCCCCAAAGCAGAGTCTGAGACAAGGAGTCTAGGGCAAGTAGTGTATTTTCAAAGGGACACAAGGAAGCACCAGCACGGGGGAGGGTAAGAGAGAAAAAGGAAGGCACTCAGTCAAGGTTCATGAGCAAACAAATTCCACTGTGGGTACCTGGAGCCATTATTGAAATATGCTGCTCCATCATTCCTCCCATGAGGTGAGGAACTGGAGTATTTATGCCTCATTTCCCATCAGCCATTGGTTAGGAGCAACAGCTCCTAAGGGGATATTAACCCCACCCCCAGCATGTCTGCCCTATTGTGCAGGTGATGAAGTAGGCTTTGGAGGCCAGAGGTGGCCCTGGGACCAGGAGAAGCAGATTGGAGAGCCCCAAAGTGGCAAGGGCCAGAGAATGAGCCAGGGCACTGACAATGTCTACTACCCCTAGATGCAAAGCATCTAAGGGTCACAGAGATGGGCAGGATTCAGTCCCTGCCCTTAAGAGGTGAAAGCTTCTCTGGGTTTCTTTCCAGTCAGATGGGAGACTGATCTCTGCCCTCCCCATGTAAGGGCTGCTGTGAGATCAATCCATCAGTTGGACAGAGCCCTGGAGAATAAATCCTGAAAGCTCATTGCAAATGTAAGATCATAGTAGGGGCAGCAGACCCCAGCTCCCAGCACTGTGCTCTTTACTTGACCAGAGACCAGCTGGCCAGAACAAGTCTGGTAAAATCGTCTCTCTCAGCCTGGGCCAAGAATGGGGCCACTGTGACTCTCTGACTCTTGGTCGAATTTCGCCTTCTCTTAAGCATCTCATATGCCAGTTCCCAACTTATGTCTGTAAACCCAGAAATTCCTCCTAAGTGTCCATAGACTCAAGCTTCCTCTCTGCAATTAGAATAATTTGTGCCAAAGAATCTTCCTATACCAGGCAGTCATGCACATACCCTGCATGCACAAACACACACATGCACACATGCAAACACATACATACTGGGAACCAACTTCTAAGAAAAAGAGGAAACTGTTTTTATATCCTGGGCATTTAAGGGTCCCACTGGGCAATCTTCTACGTCTTCCTCTCCTCCCTTTGCCAGAGGATGCTAATGAGGAGAAGAGTTGCCTCCCCAAGATTATCTAGTCTCCAACACTTAGAAGGGCCCTGGACATCCTCCTAAGCACATTGCCCTAACACCTCAGGTGTTCCTGTCCTGATACCCTGAAAAAACCATCTTGGGCTGTTAGGTGTTCTTCAGAATCAGAAACCCAACAATTTCTACACTGTTTGTAATTTCTATAATTATTTCCTTTTTTTAACCTTAGCATTTAGACAAGCTCCTTTTGAAAATGTCAATCTGTCTTAGCTATAGTAAGGGAAAGGAGGTTTTGTCTGGGCTGGGCACATCTTAAAGAGGAGCAGCATACCTGGGGGAGGGGGAAGGCCAGGGAGGAGGGGTCCAGGTGAGGAAGCCAGGTGTCGGGGTGCTCTCACAGTCCCTTCCCCACTGCAGACTCTCTTTCCAAAGTTCTTGTCTGCTCAGACTTGACAGGTGTGGGATCTGTTCCTCAAATGCCAGGTTCATTGCCTGCCCTCAGGTTCAGTCCTGTTTCCCTAGGAAGTGCTCAGAACCATAGATTCCCACCACCCACCCCATCCGCCACCCCCAAGATATTCCAGAATCTCATCCATATCCAGAGATGTCCAGCTTTCTAAGGTCATCTCAGGCTAATTGTGGTATCCTAGTCCACGAAGACACTTCAGAAGAGCTCATGATTTCATATGGGGTTGGAGGGCTGGGAGGTTGGAGGGCAGGCAGCCATTTCACCATTTCCATTGTGGCCCCAGCCCTCCACATGATATCTGTGTAGTTTAATAATAGTCTTCCTAAAACAGTGCCTCCTGGAGAAGTGATAGGGTCATCATGACCGCTGTAGAAAAAACATAGGATGGTGCTGCGGGTCAAAAGACATGAGATCTTGAGCTAGTGGGTCTCAAAGATCCAAGGGTCTAAGGCCCCTTCCTCCTGGAATATTCTGGGATTCTCCCACCTACTGCTCCGTGGCTCTAGACAAGCAGTTTGAACTCCTTGAGTCTCAACTTTCTCACCCTTTGAATTTGGTTTCCTAAGGCCACTACCACATGTGGATTATATGGTAGAAAGTTTACCCACTCCCAGGACAGACCAGTGGGGGAAGGTTTATGCCCAAAGGAAGCCTAGCCCATCCTCATCCTGAGTGCGTACCAGCCACACTGACCACAGTCTCTGCAGGGGCGCCTCTACAGCCTGGCCCTTCCTTAGAGCCTTCCTGCCCTTCCAAGGACCAGCGCCGGTCTGTATAACGAGCTCCAGAGAGACCCTAAAAACTAAAGCTATCAATGCCCTCTGCTCACGCTCCCCCAGCAGCCGCCTCAGCGGAGCTCTCGGCCAGGGAAGGCAGGCGGGAAGGGCTGCTGGCTTTACTCAATGAATCGGCGGGTGTGCGGGTGTGCGGGTGTCTGTGCCAAGCTGGCCCCGGTTGATGAGAAAAGACTCCCTGGAGTGAAAGGGAGGGGTAGGAGAGCCTTTCCACCCTGATCAGGGCTACAGATCAGACTTTCCATGCTGCTCTGCACAAACTCCCTGACCTTACGGGCCCCAGCCCCCACCCTTACCCCTCCCTGCACTCACACAGAGGAGAGAAGCCTGTTTATCACTCTGGGTGGGACCCAAGCCTGTGGGGAATTGAAAAGAAACAGCCAGCTTAGGTTGCTATTGTTTTGTTTAAACAAACCGCTGGCGGGGCTGACTTGGAGAGGCGTGAGGGGAAGGCTGGGAGCGCAGAGCCAGCTGGGCTGGGCCGCCCTGGGCTTAGCCCCCATCTCTCAGCGGTGCTAGAGCCGCCAGAGAGCTATTTTGGGAGAGTGGCTGCTAAGGCTTGGGCCTTCACGTCCCGGGAGGAGAGAGATGGGAATCAGGGGAGGGGCCTCTGTTCCCCAACCCCTTTCCTCTACCCTGGCGCCCCCTGGCTTCTCAACCCCTGGCCACACCTGGAGCCCCCTGCCAGCCCTGGGTAAGACAGGGCCTGATGCTGGGGGAGTCAGGGACCGTGCTGAAAGCCAGCCAAGGCAGAGCTGGCCAGACCCTCATCCTGAGCACCTCTGTGAGGTGTTGGCACGCGCCCTGCTGTTCCAGGGACTGAATTTGAAGGCTGCCGAGACGCTCCGGAGCAGACAAGACTGCATGAGGGGGCTGGAAGGGTGCCAAAGGACAGAGATCTTACCTGCTTGGGGCGAGGAAAACCAAGTGGGAAGGGGGCCCAAGGTGGAGGGGCCCAGTGCAGTCCTCTGCCCCTTCTCCCAGCCAGGGACGGGTCTGGGAGAGGGGATGTTCTGAGAACGGTTGGTGGACAAGCTATAGCCCAAAGGGGAAGAGATCAGGGGGCTTCAAGGAGAGGGAGGTGGGGCTTTAATTTTGTAGAAAGGAACCCGCACTAGGGGCTAGGTCTCCCAGCTGACCCCGAGAGTCTCCGCAGAGAAATGAGAGGAGGTCTCTCAGCTCCCTGCTCCCAAACCCTCATCCTGAGCACCTCTGTGAGGGGAAAGAGCAGAGGCTGCCTCAGGAGTGCTTGGTGGAAAGATGGCCAGGGCACAGTTAGGTGTTGGCAGAGCCCGTGAAGAGCCATGCTAATCACCATCATTAAGGCTATAAAACCCCACACCTAGGAGCCGCAAGCTGTGGCACGGACCCAGGGGCCCTGCTCCAGTCCCTTTCATCTGAGCATCTCTCGGTCCTGCACAAACAATAATTAGCACCCGCCCCCGGGATCGCCTCATTATCCCACAGACGCGGAGCAGAGGGGGAAAGGGAGGGGAAGGAAGAAGAGGGAAACTGAGGCCAAAGAATCTGCCCAGAGGTTGTGGGCTGAGTCCAGTCAAGGCTGGGGAAGAAGTTGCCTCAGAATCAGTGGTCCAGCCTCCTCCCACCCTCCCTGCCCTTCTGGTTACTCAGGCAGCCACTGGCCTAATACTCTCAAGGCCCGAAAGAGAACCTGAGAGGGTGGGCTGGCTTAGCAAGGCTGTGAGAATTGTCAGCGCCTGCCCCAGATCTGACCAGACCGCACAGGCAGAATTGTGTCCTGTGCCTGGTCTAGGGGCGCAGATGATGGGAGCGTCCTTCCAGAAGTGTCCCCTCATGTTCAGGGGGCCCATCCCTCACCCCTAGGCCACCCTCAGCAATGCCTGTGTCTGTCCTCTCTCCCTGGGCCCCCTGAGGCACCATTTCAAACCTTATAGCCAGTTCTCAGGAGCAGCCGTTCATGTTCCTACTCCTCCATCGTACTCCCTCAGGGAGAGAACGAAGTCAGCAAAACCCACTTGGACCGAAGTGTGCTGGTGTGGCCTTCGGCTGCCCCAGTCGTCTCCCACACCCATGCCTGTCTGTCATTTCAGGGCACTGATATGAAGAAAGGGAAGATTCAGGGCCAGGAGCTGTCAGGTGAGTACGACCCTCCAACCCCCCTTGCCCCAGCCAGGGCCACAGGGAGGACCGCGAGAACCATAACGAAGCCACTCAATGTTGACACTTCACAGCGTGCAAGCGCCGGCCCAGGAGTGTACTTGTGTGCTCTAAGGTCATCTTCACAGCTGCATTTTGAGGCCGCTGCCACCAATATGTCCATTTTAAAGAGAATGAAGTCGAGGCACAGTCCCCACTTGTCTCATGACAAGTAAGGGGTGGGGCCAGCGTGGAAGGCAAGGGTTGTCAGGAGAGCAACTGTAACTGCTCTCCTGGCAGAGATCAGCGGGTCACTCTCTTCCCTCTGCCTGCCTCCCTGTGTCCCCTGTACCCAGGCCCACAAGGTGGTCTCGTCATATGGGGCTCCGTACACCTCCCGGAAAGGGCTGGGCAGAAAGATAAATGAGCCTCATAGTTCTGTGGAGCGACACAGGTCAGACGGGCCTGGCTTCAAATCCCAGCTCCACTACTTACTGTTCGCCTGACTTTACCTCCCAGAGCCTCAGTTTCCTCATCCAGAAAATGGCAGCAACACCCATCTTACCAAGTTGTGGTGAGGATTAAGGGGATGTCCCAAGGGAAAGCACTTAATCAGGGCCTGGCACCAAGAAGTGGCTCAACATGCGTGCATGTCCCTTCCCTTCCTCCTCATAACCTCTCACCTCTACTGTTAGAGGGGGGATTCTTCAGGAAAGCCCTAGTGAGTGGGGTTCAGTCTCCATGTCTCCTGAGGATAAATTCCCCGTTGCACTGGATCAGCGAGTTCCAACTACAGCCTTATGCACCCAGAATCATGGACACCAGTCTTGGGCAGCATGGAACGTGCCCACACTCAAGCGTACTCGGCACCCCACACACCCACTGGCCTTGCTAAAAGCTGACCCAGCTGCACCTGCCCTCCATGCACATGAAGACACACTCGGGCGCCCACCTATGCTCAGAAGTCTTTCTCAGAGTTGGCAGTGTTGGTGAAAAAACACAATGGCCCACGTTTGCACACACACTGACAGAGACCCTCCAAAACAGCCTCCACGAACACGCACACCAGCTCTCCCAGCACTAACACTCACCCCTGCACCAGCACAGACCCCAAGTCATACAAACTCATGTGGCTCCTGGCACACCCTGTGCTGTGCTCACTCTGAACACACGCACACGCACTGCATGCACACACACACACACACACACACACACACACGTGCGCGAGCGCATGTCAGATCTGCAATCAAAACCTCAGGGAGAGATGAATAGTCAGGAATTCCCCTAGCTGTGAGCATGCTGGAGGCCCCAGTGGCCGGAAGTACACCATGAGGAACAATTCCAGCAGTTCCAAAGAGCAAGTTGCTCTTGTCTAATGACCAGGAGACGGAGGTGGCCATAAAGGACCAAGCTCCCTCCCACCGGCATCCTCACTGCAAGCTCTCCACCCCCACCCACCCCCAGGAAGATTCCTGGCTCTTTAGGAAGGGAGAGGAGGCGAAGGGGAGGAGGCAGAGTCACACAATTTGGAAGGAGGCCCAACTGGAACCAACCGCAAAAGTCTGGCCCATAAAACCCCTGCATAGACTCGGGGAAAGAATGAGAGATGTCCCACCCCCCTACCCCCTACTCCAGAAAAAGATCTGCCTCCTGCACCGAGGGCAAAAGGGAGGGAGATGGGCCTTCTCCTCCGGAAGAGCCTGAGTGGGCTCCCAGCGCCCCAAGCACCCAGATCCTACACTTCCAAGATCAAACCTTTGAACCGAGTCCCACCCACCCCCGTAACCACTTCCAGATCCTCCGGATCCAGCCAAGAAATTGGCTTCTTTGGGAATTGAGTTCATAAGGAAATGCTGAAAAAATAAATAAAACTCCACTGCCAAACACTCTCACAGAGGAAGATGGGTTTCTCTTGAGGCAGGAAATCTATCAGGATAGACAAAAACAGCAAAGGGATAACACCAACACCCACCGGCCAAGAAAGGCCTGGGAGTCCCACCAGTGCCCAAGACCTTCAACCAACCCACACCTCCACCTCATCCCCCCACCACCCCCCAAAATAAGGTGTTTCCTAAAGGAAACTACTGAAGGTGAGATCCTGCCAAAGATAAATCCCAATAGCTGGCCGTGGGTAAGCCCCCAGCTGGGACCCCAGGACTCACTGGGGATCATGGAAGGCATAGAGAATTATCTTGAGAGAAAAGAGCCAGGGGTCTCTGGGCTCTGTGGTGGGTGGGGCCCATCCTCTGTCCTTCTTCTGCCCCTAGCCTACCAGCCTCCCTCCCCACCAGCACGAAGTGGCTTCCACCGCTACCAGTTCTTCGTCTACCTTCAGGAAGGACAGAACATCTCTCTCCATTCCAAAGAAAACAAAACTCGAGGTAAGGCCTTCCCATCTGTCAAAGCTGGTGTAAATTTGGGGGTGGACGTGGATGCTTTGTGCATTAACGGATAAGTTGGGACGTTGACCCCTTACCCTTGAGCTTTGGAGGCCAGAGTCAAAGAGTAGTGTTACTTGGGAGTAGACTGGAATGAGCATCCTGAAGATTTTGACATCAGATGTGTTCTCCCCCTGCCCCCCATAAGTAAGTCCCACAGATCAGGATGGTGGCTGTAGTTGGCGTAGAGCCAGGGAGAGAACCATTTCCCCCACTTAGCCTCGAATGGCATGTGCAGGCAGCTACCCCACAGCACCTCTGCAAGTAATTGTACGCTGTAATTGAGCCTGATCTGGGCAAGAGGGCCCTGGAATGCCACCTTGCCAGTCTGTCTTCATTGGTCATTAATTGCTCTGTCTGCCCAGTATTGCTGCAGTGGTGGGGCAAAAACTTCCCCAGCCATGCCCCTTTCACTGGCTTCTCTGAGCAGCCGTCTGGCATCCTGGAGAGGACCTACTCCCTATAGCCTCCTGATAGCTAACTGAAGGTGGAGCTGGGGGCCAGGGAGGAAGACTCAAGGACATGTGGACCCTGCCATGCCTCAGGCGACTCACCTTGACCCTGTGTGAGCCATGACCCCTCACTGAGCCTTAGACTTCTCTCCAGGAAAATGGGAAATAAAGTAGTCTGTGCACTCTATCACCTCCCCCATTTGGGGGAAGGGAAGAAAATGCGGAACGCACAAATGCCATCTTGAGAGTGCAAACAACACATCCCCCAGGCTGGCAGGAAGGTGAGTGGGCGGGTGGATGTCATCAGCCATTTGCTCTCACCCAGTGACCTTGACCAACTTACACCCACTGGGAAGCCGGGAAAGGCATTGTTACAAGCCTGTTGCCCAAAGGCCCCAGGGGAGCAGAAAGTGGAGCCCCGAAAGGCATTGGTTGAGTGAAGGAGGCCTTCAGGTGTGCCGAGCAAGGGCCACCAATCACAGAAGGCTCTGGGGTGCCCTGAAAGCAGAGTTGGTGCAACCTTTCCACTGGTGAACCCTCCCCAGGTGCCCTCAGCATCTTGCCAATCTGGAAATCTGTTTTAAACAGCTTTCCCAAAGACACACTGTCAAATTTGGATACAAAGAGAAAAGGAAAAGAATAATGTATCTTGCCCAAGCCAAGATGAATTTCTCCAGTCCCCTGGATCCCTGTCACCTAAGACTCCGTGAGCCCCCCTTACACCGATCCAGGCACTGTGCTTCCTGGGGGATGAGTCTCGCAAAGCAGGCAGTGCCTGAGTCCCACTGTTAAGACATCAAGATCACAATGCCCACACCCTGGGCTAGGATAATGCTCAGACTGTCCCCTGAGGGAGCCTCCAGCAAGATCAAGTGCTTTCTGAGGAGGTGGGGGGGTGTGGGGGGGAAGGACAGAGCAGTAGGCAAGGCCAGAAGGATCATGAAAGGGGGCAAAGGGAGAAGGGAAGTGCCTACAGCAAAGACACTTGCCCTCCGCTGTGGCTGGGTCCGCAGGTTCCATCCTAGCCTGTCCTCCAGAAAACACAGCGGCTGGTGTGCCCTTCCTGTGACACTGGCAGCAGGCAAGGAAGCGCTAAGCCTATGCAGCCTGACACCCATTATTAGTCCCTTTGAATGAATCTTTGCCAAAACCACAGTTCGTTGTGCACACTTCCCCCCCACCCCCACCCCCTTTAATCTACATGAAAACTCAGGAACTGGACTTGCATCTGGGCAGGGTCCCTGGACTTTTGTGCCATTTTGCTTGCTTCTGGAAAGGAAGGTGGGAAAATCATCCCTCCAGATGGCGCTCCGGCCAGGCCAGGGTGCCTGTCCCACCGTGGGACACCTTCCTGTGTGGGGCTTAGGAGAGGATAGGATCTCATAGCACAGGGGATGTTCCTGCCCTCAGGGGGCTTACAGTCTACTTTGAAAACACTTAAATAACAATGCAGAGCAGCTTATAATTAAGCACTTAATTGTGTGTTTCTGGCTGTAAGGATACCGGGAGATCAAGTGGATTTAGGGATAGTCCATACCTTCCTAAGGTCCCCTTCCCTCCCAGAAGACACATCCTCTTCATCTGGGAAGAGTGCAAAGGTATTTTTCTGCAGGGAGAGAAAATCTGTTTTTCCAGTCTCCAGCTAGTGACTTGACTTTTGGGCAATTCAGCTACCCTCTCTGAGCCTCGGTTTCCCCATCTAGAAAATGAGAGGTTGGCTCTAGATGATCTACAAATGTATATGGCCCTGAGGCTCCGTGGAAGTGGCGGCATGGGCTGGGCCTGGCAGAAGGAGGGCACTGGAACCTTTGAGTGAAAGAGAAAGGGAGCTCAGGGCTGCGGAAACCACAGGTGCAACGATTATTTCTGAAAAGTGAGAAGGAGCACCCCTTGTGAGGAGCCAGCCCAGAAGAGGCCTGACCTTGGTGGGTGCCATGAGGCACCGGGGGCTCCTGCCCCATGGGAGAAGTAACACACAACAGCCCCACTTTAGAGGTGATTACTTGGGAGCGGTGGGCAGGCCAGAGAGGAGCAGGGCACAGGAGACCACCAGAGGCGTGGAGATGCGTGCCAAGGTGAACTGAGGGGGCGTGGCAAATGGAGACACCGCCCTCGCACACTGTCAGGACCCCAAAGCCTGGTGCTCCCCGAAGCACCCTCACAGAGCTTAGGGAGTTGTGGAGCCCCAGGCTGGACCAGCCCCCGGGGGGCCAGGACATGGAGCCAAGGAACACAGTCCCTGGGGCTCCCTTTGGTCTAGTTTTCTTTTCATGGGAAGGTATCCTTGGAGGGACAGGGGAGTCCTAGGGTATGAGTGCTGTAACCATCCACTTGTGCTTCCTGGATGCACAGGCAGGAACAGCTTCCAGAGACGGGGGGACGGGGGGACGGGGCATCAGTATGTAACAGCCAGGTAAGGAGGCATCCATGAAGGGCAGTTGACTTGAGCCAGCCCTACTAGGTCCTTTCCTCCCTAGGACTTAGGTGTGGATGACAGCTTAGGATGAGAAGCATGTGCGACATTATTCTAGTTGAACTTGTAGGACTATGGGGGTCGGGGAACATTGCTCAGTGCCAGGGGCTGAAACCCTCCCCAGGATTTCTCTTTATTCCGTGACATTAAAGCAACATCTATAGCGTCAGCAGATGGGAGACCTTGACATCCATTGTGTGACCTTGGACAAGCCACTTCACATCTCTGGGCCTCAGTTTCCACATCATCAGGATAAGGGGTTGGACTAGTTGGGTCTACCACTGAATGACACTGAATGATTTGCTCCCAGCTAACCGAGTTCCCCCCACCTCGGAGTTCTGCGGAACGAGTGCAGGGAGCAAGTGACCAGACTTGAAGAGCCCATCCAACTCCATACACTTCTGGGTGGAGGCCTTCAATCAGATACTGGTCTGCCAGGACCACAGCATGGGCCCTGGAAGGGCATTTGGTGCCAACTTCCTTCTAGTTTAGGAAAGCGTGCCTTCCCATTCCTCCTGCCTTTACACAGCTCCTTCTCCCCGCCATTTCGCCTCCGTGCGGGGCATGATTCACACATGCCTTCTGCATGCCGAGTGTGTGTGAGGCAGTATTCTAGGTGCTGTGGGCACAGAAGTGAGCCATGTGGACCAGGTCCCTGCTTTCATGGATATATGGTGTCACCCGTAGCCCTGTTGACAGCTGGAGTTCACAGAGCTAGTAGAGGGAGATAGATAGCTTGAGCATGACCACATCCCAAACAGGGATCAACAGTGAAGCTGAAAGAGCCTGGCCTAGATGCCCTCTGACCAGGGCTGGCCCAGTTTCACTGACATTTATCACAAAGGCCACATGGCCCCTTCCTAAGTTTGGGCGTGTAACACACTGGACTTGTACCTCTGTCCAGTCCCTCTCCCCCAGCTCTAATCCACCTCTCCCCTCCACCTTGTATGCCCAAAGCCTGATCTGGCCTCTGGGCCCATCTGTGATTCATGATAGTTTGCGTCCACTTCCTCACAACAGCCTTGGATTTGGCAGCAGGCTTCCACGTTGTAGAGGACCAACTGAATGAGTTGAGGGGCCGTGTCTGAAGATGGCCCGTAGGTAGTGCTGGTTCCCACCCCATGCACCCTTCTGTACCACACCCCCACTAACTCCTGCTGTCTTAGTCACATCAGTGCCCACCACGCTCCCCCCTGCCTGCTGATCGGAGTACACCGCTCCTCCCCTGCCCCAAGCCTGGCGGCCCCACCGCCCTGCACAGCACCAGTCTTGCTGATGGCCCCGTGGTGCTTTCCCACAGGGTGGTCTTCTCTCAGCCGACAGGCACCTGCCCTCCCTGCTGCTGTCCATCTCAACACGCTCAGTACCACTTGGTTTTGCTTCTTTAGCCACCTGCTTTTATCTCTTTTGTATTACTCAATCGTTTTTCACTTGCACAGGTCTCACTTCCATCGCGAGATTATAAATTCCTTGAGGGAAGAGCTCACCTCTGCCATATGTTTCCTTTTTACCAGCTGTCCCTGTGCTCAGCCCTCTGTGAACTTTCGGTCAATGAGGATGTTTGTGTATGGGACATGCCCACATAGGCACACGCACAAGCCATGCACACACACACAAACACACACACACAGCTGCACATTCTCACACCCCCATATTCAAGTCATCATCAACTTCCTTTAACACCTGGAAAGACACCCACCTCTGGGAGCACCGTATCCACAAATGACAGTTTTGGAGCTCACATCCTCCCTGTCCCAACACCAGGCAGGCGGGCAGGACCACTTGTGCCCAGCCTCTCTGCAAGCCTACCCGGCCTCTCCCTGGCTGGACTCTGTGGGACGAGCAGTACTGTGGCCATTCCTTCCTCCAGTCGAACAAGGAAACTGGCGCCCAGAACAGTAAGTGGCTTGGTCAACCAAGGGTCCACAGTTAAGAGCAAATTACCTTTCTTCTGACTTGTGGGGCAAGGCTCTTGACTCATATCACTCACTTACCCACATTCCCTCTCCCCTCACCGA